TTTTTGGTCAAAAATACCTCATGACCCAATCTCGTTCCCAGAGTGTAACCCGCAAACAAGCGTACTCTGGGAACGAGATTGCTCATGACCCAACCCCTTTTTCTGCGAGCCTACCCCCAGTCATAAATAATGAATGGTCCCTTATATTCAGGGGGCTTAAAGTTGGAATGGCCTGAGTGTGATGAATATGGTGGGCTTATACACATATCCTAGCTGATCGAATCACACTGACATCACCTTGGTCATCCTTTTTCTCAGGCTTTATAGCCAAAGTGAGATACTTTCCAGAAGAGTATATTCTGTAAGAATATACACTATGTGCAATATTTTAGAAACTTTATATCCAGGTTTAGTAAGGAAGTTAATAATATTATTAAATAGGATTCATAAACAAACACAAAACATTAGCCAAACTAAGCACTTTCCTCTATTGACAATTGAAGCAAGCTTTAGAAAAGAATATTTCTCATCAACTATCGACAAAAAGGAACAAAACAGTATAAAATATAAAACTTTGTACCTTTTCTATCGGTTATAAATTGACGGTGTAGATTTCACTTCGCCGATTCATCCCCTTGGCTAGCCATACTCTTTAAATTTTAACCTTCGACAAGCAAATACATGTGAATAATATATATTTACTTAAATATTTTATTATTTTTACTATTAATACAAAAACAAGGCGCAGAATGCAAATATAAATTTGTTTTGTACACTGAAATTTCAAATTTCTGAGCCGTCTCGCACATATCTCGAACTCGCGGGACCGGCGCGATATTTTCCTACGTCCTGATTGGATGATGCCCACGCATGCGCTACGTCTACAGTTATCGCGCATGCGTTAGTTTCAAAGGTTTGGAAACACCGAGCTGAAGCGTCCCACATGCACCGCACCGGGCAACTGTAACGTACTTATATACCGAATCGTTACCTTATTTGTGTGTGGTAGTTACCGATCATAGGATCTTGCGAAAAGGGTGCCAGGCATAATGGTCTGGGGGCCGCCGGCACTCTCCCCCATCGTTCGTTCGATACCAGTTGGTAACTGAACCACTGCGGCCGCTGAACTTGGGGGGCCAGTGGTCCCCCAATTCTTTTAAGCTTTTTCTAAAGTGCCCCATTCAAAGAATAAAAAAAATATTTCTTGAATGAACGCCCTCTTTTGTGGAAAGAAAGTGCCCTTTTTGCAGTAGTAAAGACTCTGTAAAAAAGGCCATTTCCGACGTTATAGAGACTCGCCTCTTACGATATTAAACGTTCGGTTTAGCAGAGTCGGGAAGTATGGACTGATGGAGTACTTTTGTTTTTAAAAAAATTATTTGTAATTTACCGCTCAACCGATCTTCTGTTCTAATTTACCGATCAATTGAATTGCGACTAAAAAAGTTAGCAGTGTGTTTTGTGCTTTTATCTAACTTATAAAAATCTAAAAATGTACCATTACTACTTGTTTATGTCATAATAGTCATATCAAATTTAAAAACACGATTAAAAACCTAAATTAAACTTTTTAAAGTTCTATTTATAAAGTTTCACGCCAGGACACCAGCTATTTTACCATTTTGTAGGTACCTGTCTACTTTCTGGTCCGCCTTCATTTCAACCAATCAGATCACGATCCACAAAAGCTCGTAATCTGATTGGCTAAATGAAGTGATCCGTTATTAAAATCCCACCAAGCTTGGAAGAGTGGTACAGCGAAAGTAACCGACTAAACGGAGTCATGGCAAAATAAAATTAACTGCAACGGCAAAACAAAATAAACTCATGGGAAAATAAAGTTAACTCACGGCAAAATAGAAAGTCACGGCAAAATAAAGTTAACAAGACGCTCGAAATAGCCTCCTCGGCAGGCACCTCCCATTCGCAGGCAGAGAGGCCCGAGGGGCATTTCACTCCAAAAAAGCGTACGGGATTTGCGGATTTTGTAGCGGATTTTTAAAGAGAAAATCTATTGGATTTTCCGGATTTTTTGACGAAGTGTACGGAATTTTTGGAATGAAATGCCCCTCGCCAATTGATACACCATTATCGATATTCAAATATAAATTCTGTATATATACAACTTAGCCTTAGGTATGTACATAAATAAATTGCGCATACAATATCAATACTACATAACCCCACCGTACATATATCCGCGACTATACAATAGAGATGCTATATAGAGATGCGTAAAACGTGCGGATAAAATATCAATACGACATAACCCCATAGGAATGTCAGCTTTATTTTAATTAATTAATAACACAGTTTACCAACGTACTATGTATAACAATATAAATTATTAAATGAGAACTTGAACGGTTAGAAAGTGCTTGATTAAGTAAGTTGTCTTGCTTTTTAGCCGTTTGCCACAAAATGTGAATCACGAATGAATCTAATCTTCAGCGTCTTTATAGCAATTGTGGTTACCTAAAATAGAGTACTTCTCATTATTTTAATAGCTAGGAAACATCATCTCACGCGCATATGGCTGCATGTGGAATTATTACAGCCTTATATAGGACGGCAACGCGACGATGTCTAAATTATTCATATATTGAATTGCCGTCGCGTTGCCGTCCTAAATCGTAAGGTCTCTAATATTCCAAGATGTAGGACGGCAAAGCGACGACGACTGGGCAAAACAAATTCATTCGAAACAATCGTTATGAATTTAAAACAGCTTGACGAGATCAAAACAGAGGCTTTCTATTGAGTAGAATTCCACATTTAGGCCCACAATAGTACTGAACCAATTTGCTGGGTGTCCACTTCTTACGTACTATAATGCAAACGTTGTACTAAAGTCCCTAATATTTTTCATAATACCTTCGCGCATAATACCTTCTAAATGATTAAACGGAAGTAAGGGAGAAATGATTCAACGGAAATAAGGGAGGAGACATCTTATTCTGATTCGTCGACCACCATGACCACAAATATTTGCTTCAGCCAATAGCAGTAGACCTTGCAAACAGTGCGTTCTATCTGAAAATATGGAAAGCACATGGAAATCTAACGAAATCGAGGCTAATGTCCTATAAGGAAAACGAGGCAATGAACTTGAACCGCGTGCCGTGCAGACTAATGCCACTGCCACTGACCTCAATGGCTAATCATATGCTGAACACGAAAGCGAGGCAAATATCCAGCTGTGACGTCACGATTAAGAAGCGACAATTCAACCTCGTCCCCAGGGCCTTCCTCGTGGTGGCGCGTGAGCTGAGGAAGACCCTGGTAAAATAAACACCGCGGAAAAACGTCTGCGCATGCGTCCACCTTACCTGTAATAGTATTGCGAACTTGATGAGAAGCTGTTCCGAACGTTTCCGAAGGCTCAAAATGGCGGTAAAAAGGAGTGACTTCATTGTGCGTCTTTACAGCCACATTTCGAGTGCAAAAATAAACATGTCATTCTAAAAACTAGGAATAAATACAGCCAGAAGGTTCAAGAAATTGCATTGTACAAGAACATGAACTAAAGGTGATTGTTGACAAATTTATCGTCTGAAACATTTTGTTTATCAACCAAGCAACGACAATTTCCGAATTTTCGTTTGAGATACATTTCTTTAAAAAAAACTGTGTCGCCAAATATAAAAAATTTTCGTGTTCACAATAATTAAACTTTAGGATTTATTCTACAATTTGAGTGGGTTAAGAAGCTTAACTTTTCGAGAGTTTTCTTAACTTTTGAGGTTGAATTTTTGTTTTGAATAATTTTGCAAAAATTTTCGAAGTCGTGTCCGTTAAAATCAACAATTTTTTACATGAATTATATTTCATTCCATACTTTAAATGGCAGGACGCTTTCAATTAATGTCTAGTCTACCCATTTGCTATATTTTCTTGTTTGTTTTACTAATTTTTGACCAATTAATAAGCATGTTTTTGTTTTAGAAATTGATATTCAAATTCCCCGCCATATTTTCATAATTTGGTGCATGCGCAGACGTTTTTCCGCGGTGTTGGTAAAATACGATGAAATCTCCAAGATTCTTGGAGATTTATCGCATGCGCAGTAACGACAACGTTATGTTGCTGACTACAATTAGCGCTGGCGCTTACGATTTTCTTGCTTTAAAAATACACATGTTTTGTTGATTCTTTATGTATTTATTCTCAAAGTTTTAACAAATTTTAAGAAAAATACTTCAGATATAAGCTGTAAACACACATGTACACAAAACTGTGCAACATTCGTCATCATATTGTATCAATTTGTCGGAGTATGGCGCTCATATTTGTGACATTGTTTTGTTCGCTTTGGCAACCCTCGTATATATCAGATGCTGTTCGGCCTCAAATGCGACTGAATGAATACTGATGGTGTTGCCTGGAATATGAAATGATATTGACTGATTGTTCTGTATATCAAGGTAGGTACTGTACATTTATACTGAATTTATTCGATTTATTTTCACACGTTGCTTTCACATTTTCCC